ATGCCAGCTTAGGACAATCACTTCTCTCTTGCTCTGAAAAAAGCACACTGGTTGAGTTCCATTTTGACAATCAAATACAATGTATACTCATTATATTTGATTTTTTTAATAACAATTTCGGAACCCAAAATGCATGGTGACAGCACAGACACCTATAAAAAGTACACATCAAAAGACAACATTTACCAGTTATTTTGAAGACACTGCACCAATATAAATTGCTTGCGCATATGGTGCCATGATAGTACTGGAAAGGAAGAGACCTGCAAAGACCTTAGCCTTCTGGCTTACCAAAGGAGCAATTATTATTTGTATTTGTACAATCTGGTGACAGGACAGACACTATTACTCTGGACAAGATTACTGTTGCCGAAAATAATGAATCCAAGTGGAAAACCAACAGCTTTTCTGCTGTTATCAGCCTTTCATGATGTCATGCTACATAAATCACCAGGGCTTTGGGAAGTATTTGTTCCCAGCAGGGGTCCGGAAACCGTCATATGCGCCTGACATGTCCGATTGGGAATCTCAAATGTCCGGTTTAAAATATTATTTACCGGACGTTTTAAAAAGTATTGTTCGGACATTCTTAAATTTTGACCGGATATGATCAACAGTTAGGACTGAGCAGTTTCTGTCTGCAGTTGCAATACAATTAAGATTAACTACACTGACAAGCTTTGTTTGTTTTGATTGCTGTAAATACATCGTACCTACATGATAGTCCAATCGGTCAGTCACTGTAATAGGCAATAAACTGAGTTGACACTGATTAATCGAGGATTAATTACTGAGAACATCTTGTTAATTTGCGTGAAAGGTGTTTATAACTGTACATAAATACCTTGCATCATCGATGTACCCCAATCCATTATTAATAACAGACTTAAGCATCACATCTCTACCAACAGACTTATAAGCCCAGACCAGAGCGGCTTCACTAATAACAGACAAACACTAGACCACATCCTTCACCTAGAACAAGACATTAGAACAGCCCAATCAATGAAACAATACACACTGGCCATTTTTATAGATTTTAGCAAAGCTTTCGACATGGTCTGGCACACCGGCCTTCTAAAAAAACTTGAAAACAATCAGATCAATGGGAGAATATTAAACTTCATTCACTCGTTCCTATCAGACAGACACATTACCGTTAAATCTCATCAAACCCTCTCCGACACTCACCCCATTGAAAACAGCATCTTATCGCCAATGCTATTTAATTTTATGATTAATGATATCTTTTCAGACACCAAAAACACTGAAAAAATCACTACTGCAAAATTCGCAGATGACGTTTCCTTTTGGACCTCCTCGGCCTCCATCAATTTATTAAAAACTAGAATGCAATCTGCGTTAAACAACATTCAAAATTGGGCTTCCAAATGGGGCTTCCAAATTAACACCAATAAAACCACCAGCATGCTTTTTAAAAAACAGTATATGCAAAATTACACACCCAAACTTCACCTTAATGACAAAATAATTACATATCAAAAAGAAGCCAAGTTCTTAGGGGTTACATTTGACCAACACCTTACATGGGGCCCCCAAATACTGAAAATGGTCAACTCTTGTGAAAAAGATTTAAATTTAATGAGAGCTATTAAAGGTAATAATTGGGGGTCCGACAAACAAACCCTCCTCAACATCTACAAAACACTCATTCAATCCAAAATCGACTACGCCGCTCCGGTCCTAAGCGGCATCTCAACTACTAACTATAACAAACAAAATCAATCCAATACAAGGCCCTCAAAATAGCCACCGGCATTAGGACTGGGACCTCACATCACGCCTTACTACTAATCACAAATACACTCTCCATCAAACACCGAATACAACAAACCATTCTCAACTACTGGGCTGGGGCACAACACAATCCAATTTTTAAAATAATAAAACAAAAATACAACAACATCAACAAACAGACGGCACACAAATTCCAAAATTCCCCTGACCAAGCTCCATATATGACCCACCTGCACAAGCTAATACTCACCCACAATCTAAGCAACATAATACATACACCCCCCTCCCTACAATACATAGCCGACCTCCCCCCCCCCCCCAGTAGATACAACCCTCCACAAACTGTTCACACCAAGCAACGGCATCCCAACTGAAAATAAGGCAAAACTAACACTTACACACATCCATAATAACTGGCCTACACACACTCACATCTACACAGACGCATCCCAATCAAACGACAAGACAGGATTAGGAATACACATAGACCAAACACCCCAGGTCACTACTAACTTTCACTATAAAAATTTCACAATCAATAACACAGGGGAACTACTAGCAATCCTTACAGCAATACACGCTACCAAAACAATTAACCAACAGAAAATTCCTAATAATATCCGACTCACTAACGTCACTCAAACAAATATAAAACAAACACTCCAGAACACGTCCAGACCTTATCAACAATATTATTACTCTCACAAACCAACTCAATAACAACAACAAACAAATCAGTCTACTCTGGGCCCCAGGACACACCAATATACCAGGAAATAACACAGCTCACATCGCAGCCAAAATAGCCACCCAACAGCCATCTCTTGAAATCTACTTCCATACCTCTAAAGTAGAAATCGAGAATAAAATAAAAAGGTCTATCAAACTCCAAAACAACAATAACATAACCGAAAACACCAATTCGCAATGGCTCAGATCAATTTTTACGCAACCCAATCTAAAATGTCGCAACTTCAACAACTCCAACCACCTTGACAATCTCATATCAAGAATTATTAGCGGCAACACAAACCTCATCCACAATCTCCACAAACAAGGAAGACACCCGGACGGAAATTGTATATACTGTAAAAAACCTGAAGACTTGTACCATATTTTTAACAGCTGTCCTTTCTATAACACCCTTCACTCTGAACTCTACCTAGCTGTCCCCCCTAACTATAAACTAAACCTCTCACTACTCCTCAACCCTTCCAACCCTATCCACATCCTCAATGCAATAACACAATTTATCATCAAAGCAGACCTCCTAGACAGAAGTTAGAATCTCCCAAACAAAACTAAATAAAATTACTTTGCTCTAGTCAACAATCTCCATTAACTTTCGGATCGGGATCCAAATTTCCAACACGAGCCGTCCTCTCCGACGTCCGCGCCCCAAACCCAGTTATCCACACACTAAACAAAGACACCTGTTTAGCCAGCCAGCGCCTACCACAAGCCCACACCGCTCGCCACCTAACCAAGTCATACCCCCCACCCCCCGGGATTACCGGCTTATACAGTCCCTTCATTAAACCCCTGTTTCTTTCTTTAATCAACCACTCCCTATATTTATTAATGCAGCCTAACTGCATACTTACAATCACCCAATATGCTGTACCAACCCAACCTTCACCCGGTAAGATAAAGTTACGGCCCCACGTCTCTTAATGAAAATAACACCCCCAGTAATAATACTCTCTAGTACCTTCTCTAGGATAGCATAGGTTACCCCCCGGTTAGTTTCAGTTTTTGGGGTATGGTGATTCTTTTATTTAACCTATTTATCATTACTTCCCCACCTACCCCGTCCGCGAAATGCAATAAATGCGAAGCGGACGTAAAATCATTAAATCAGTCAGATGTACATCATTATCCTCACAATGTTACGATACGTAACCTCAGACAAGAAGCGAAAGCATGACGACAGCCAGTCGACCGATGCAGATCAGTCGAGCAGATCTGCCAAACCTTCAAAGTCTAGACGATCATTTTGTAAGTCGTGGCTAACGACTTTCACTTGGTTGACATACAATGAAGATTTGCAGATTTTATTGTTTTCAGTAGCTAGTCGTATATTGAATCTTGATTGACCGCCATTTTGCTTTCTCGGACAATCGATATCAATTTTTTTTATGGTCAATAAGTACAGATGAAAAAAGTATTCAAATAACTATTGCTCTCAACGATATTTTAGTATTTGTGATTAAATTATCTGTCTTGTTTTAAAAAAATCTTTAGTTTAAAAAAAAACTTTTCCCGTGTGGTCATGTGATAACCAAATATGGGATAATAGTCTCGATCCAAATGTTACAACGCGTACACTTGAGCAGACTCATGAATATAACTCCTGAATATTAATTAGACCGTTTACTACGTTAACAGATCATTATTATAAGTTATAACAGAAACAAACGTATGTTTTCCATGTATATCTAAAATGGTATTATTTGTTATTAATTGTCCGGTGAATTAAACAAGTTAAATTGAAACAATTCATAATTCATCATATTATGAATACGTAAACTTTTAATGTGAGTGAAAAGTCGTACTAAAATACGCTATTTGAAGGGGGGCGTGGCCTAAATGCAAATGTCCGATTGGGATTTTAAATTTTCCGGACCCCTGGTTCCCAGAGACTTAAGATAATTGGAGAAATTTGATTTTTTATTTGTGGACAACAAGTTTCTGTACATTTCTGCACATTTAAGGTATTTTGCTGGCTAACATAAGGTTATAGCAGTAATTTGATCAGAATATTGCTTACATCTGATAAATATCTTGATTGTCAAGTAATCTGAAAACAGAATTATGAGTTGTTTTCAAGAAAATTCATTTGGACAGGAAATGTTACTTTTTTAAGCATGACCCATATAGCAACGTACATGCACAGTGTGTGTGTTCGTGTGGCTGCTTGCACTAGTCCGGACTGATGCCGATTTATAGTGCTAGCACACTGTGATACCATGCCGCAGTTTAACATGAATACCCCACTCAGACACAGTATACTGACTCCGAGCCGACCAGTCCTTGTTTTAGCCCCTCCCTTAATGCCGAGCGCCAGTCAGGGTAACAACAAGTACCATCTTTTAACGTCTTTTGGTATGACGCAGCCGGGGATAGAACCCCGGACCTTCCGCTCTCCGAGCAGACGCTCTACCACAAGACCACGGAGGCGGCCTGGGTCCGAGACAGATGTAAAACAGAACAGAGACTTGTAACAAAACCGACAAACTCACTTGATACATTCCCCATGGTACGTCTTTTCTCCCTGTACACTTCTAGTCCCCGGTGGGAGATCTTCACCACAGTATCCACATAGTGACATCTCATCGGGAATCCTTGTACTTTACATTACCTAGAATGAGAAACGGAGAATCTGAAATAAGTTTACATTGAAACAATGTGCCACACTGTTGTACATAAAAGAAACACTGCAACTGTTGTATAAGTGCCTCGGTAGTGAACATTAGGTATGACGTCATCCACTTCTCCTCGAGAATATGGCTTTACACTTCCTCGTCCTTTGACAGGATGCACATTGTAACCAGAGTGTTAGTCAGCAGAATGCTCCTCCAGACATCCGTCACCGGATGCTAGAACTTCATTGTGTTGACTCGCTGGCCTGAAATTAATAATTCAATAATATTGTAATAATTCAATAAATTTTTATATAAACAATGCATATTCACATTTCTCAAAATATTGCTTATTTAGAAAACAACATTCTTCTGAAATAGAGAAATTTAAGGAAAAATTAATCACAGTGTGTAAGATTTCATGCTACTTTAGAAAATCTTGAAGTCATCAATTCATCTGATGTCTAAAACTCAAGAGATGCATCAATTTAATGACAGTGTACAACAGCTCTTTATATCAATGTCACACAGAAATTCACTCTTGTTTTAATGAAACACGTTTTGATATTTGTATTACCGGTATGTATTTAGTCATGAATTACTTTGTTTAGCCTGACAATGCTGAAAACATATACTAGCCACATAAAGAAACTGTGCACGGAGAAAATATAGATATAAGGGCACACCGTCCATATATGAAATATAGGTTTGAACACAGCAATTATTGGAGACATTCAAACGCTCATGCACGTGCCATGCAATATGACTTCATTGATGGGGGCCTATGGACATGCAATGTGTTACTGCACTTGCATCCTGTGCAGCTGTACACAGCATGTGCAACTCAAAATTCGCTGTCACTTTGGAAAGCATGATCTGTGGTCATTCAAAAATTCAAAACTTCTCAGGCGCAGACACAAGCATATCACAAGCAAATCATGCCAAGATTGACAGCTGCAGAGCGTCATGAAGCCCTGGAATGATCCGAGTGGGAATGAGGCAACAACAGGTGGCAACACATTTCCAATGCCATCGTTACACGATATTGGCATTGGTGAGGCGTTATCAGAACACAAATGACGTTGCCGAACAGCCACGTTCAGGACGTCCCCGAGTAACGAAGCCAAGACAGGACAGATGGATTCGAGTTACACATCTCGGACAGGTTCCAAACGGCAGTAACGACGTCCCAGACAATTCCTGGACTGCGCCGTATCCATCCCAACACTGTCAAGAATCTTTTACGTCAGTACGGGATTCGACCACGACGCCCTGCCATACGTCCCATCCTAACACACCGTCATCGAGTCAACTGTCTAAGATGGTGTCAAAATCATGTTCGCCAACCTCGAATATGGTGGAGAAATGTCGTCTTTACAGATGAATCAAGGTTCAACATTTCCCACAGTGACGGGCGCCAACGTGTCTACTGGCGTTTGGGAGAACGTTATGCACGCAACTGTATTGTGGAGAGGAATCGTTTTGGAGGTGGCTCTGTGATGATTTGGGGTGGGATAACAGCACGGCACCGAACCCCTTTGGTGGTTGTTCAGGTCAATCTCACCGGTGTTGGCTACAGAGATCAGATTCTGAGACCTGTGGTCATTCCTTTCCTGCAACGTCATGGCCAGGGATTGACATTTCAACAGGACAACGCTCGTCCTCACACGGCTAGGGTCGCTGACTAACGTCCGTGACTTGGCACAGGATTTGAGGAGGATATGGCAGGCCATTCCCCAGGCCTTCCATGCCCATTTGGTGGACTCCATGCGTCACCGATGCACTGCTGTGATTCACGCACAGGGTGGTCATACCCGTTATTGACTTTGTGACTTTGTCGTTTGACCCCCTACTCCATTTTGATCTTCTGACGTCATCGTAACAGATGTTGTTCAGGTCCCGTTGACATTTTCTTATGGTCCGATCATTCAGCTGCTACAGCGTCTGCATCATTTGGTTCTTGCTGTGTTGTATTTCAATCCAGAATATATTTTCTCCGTGCACAGTTTCTTTATGTGGCTAGTATACTTTCGGTAGAGTGAAATAAATAAGTTTTTTATAAAATCAGGTGAAATATCCCGTTTTGTCACACCTACAGTCAGTCTGCCTCATTGACACTATGGTTTTCTGAATAAAGTCATGAAGATCACAAAGAAAATATAAGACTTGAATCTATTTTGTCAAATGAAATGTTTATCTCTTCTTGTGGTTTACTAAAGTTGATATCTTGACTTGACAATATTAACTTTGTCAGATCACAAGATGAGATAAATTCATGCTATCATCGTTATTTGACGAGGAAAACAAATTTCTTCTACCGGTATGTATTTATATTTTTTATATTTCTCGTTTTGATTGAATTATAAAAATTATCAAAATGATCACACCACTTGACTTGTTTGAAATAAACTAAAGTTCTAAAGATTTTTGACAATAGTAAAATATTACATCATAACAATATAACTATTGCAAAATGACACAGTAAGCAGAACTACATTCTTACATATAAATTGATTTGATTAATAATCTATAATACATGGCAATTGCTTGCACAAAAGAAATGTTATAAAAGTTTCAAAACATGTTTGTGGACATAAAACCAGATGGATCTCACAATTAAACAAAAGGAATAAATGAGTAATGATTGCAATACGCATGGGAATTTAAAAAATACTCCTGTTTATACTTTAAGGTTATTGTAATGTCAATATCAGTTTATGCATTTGGAATATTTGAATACAAACTGCTAAAGAGTTATCTGTTTCTGTATTTTCACCAGCCTATATTGTTGCTTATAAAGTCGTTCTGAGCCTTGTCCCCGTGCTCAGTGTGTAACTTCACGACTGAATAATTAAATATTCTGCACATTTTTACTGCACTTTACATTTTCTTTTCATGCATAATGATCTTACATCATCATTACCAGCAGTTTTCAAGCAATGGTTGCGATAAAATATCTTTGGCTAGCAATATTCTATTGTCCCCGATTTTACCATCAGATATGTTGGTCACTTTTGTGTGAAGAAGTCACACACCAACTAAACAAACATTATAACGCGATGTGTCAGATATGATTTGTTCAAGCATAGTCTTAACACTTTTTATCATCAATTTCTGAAACAACTTTAAAAAAAACCATGAATCACAAAATAATACCAGCTGGGTACGATACTTTTCATCAGATACGTTAGCATGATTCATTGCCGCACACACCTGATAAACTAAATAAATCATGTTGTGTTTGTTTCTTTCATAAAACAACATGTACCTATAAAAAATGTTCATCCCAAAACTTGACATGAGTATACTTTCGAAATATCTGACCAATTCGCAAAGTTGTCATCAGATACAATTTTGTCAGATACGTTAGATAACACCAGCACCATCGGAAGATGGTCATCGAACTTCAGTAATCTCAATAAGCTGAATCTTATTAATGCACATGCGCGCCGTGCCACCTCTCTACTTCCGATTTTCAGTCAAGAACAACCTGGTTTCGGTACTCAACAATCCATCACAAACTGGTAAGTAATCTTTGCCATCTTAGTGAAAGGGTGATCTGAATTGAAAGCCACCCCACAGGTGATATTTATTTGATAAAATAGTTACTGTTAACTAAGATGGAATAAATGAATCCCTTACTGTAACTTAGCATTTCCCAAAGAACATGTTTTCCAACCTAATGTATCTGATGCCAACCTAACATAGTTTACGAATGTAATTTAATGATTACATAATTTTTCTGAAGCGAAGACCACACCATTCTACTGAAGTTTTCTGTCGGTATGCATTTCATTGATAGGCTAAGTACTATATTTTACTCAAGCTCCTGTCAAAACACCTAAATACCACCTAACGTATCTGATGATTTATATAACGTATCTGATGATTTATATAACGTATCTGATGAAATTAGCATATTTCACAAAGAATAAAGTATGGAAATTATTAAAAGGTGGCTATTTCATAAGTGTTTCAGCATGTTTTTTTCTGGGCTTGAATTTGTAAAATGGCAAAAACAGACGCAGGAAACCAAAAGGCGTATCGGGAAAGAAAGAAACGAAATGACAGTCAATATCTAGCCAAAGAACGAGCTCAAGTCAAAGGTTACAGAATACCAATTGATCAAATGCAAACAAAAAAGAAAAAGGCAGTTCGAGAAAGGAATAAACACTATAGGAAAGCATACCGTGATCGAAAGAAAACACAGAAACTAGCACAAGTTGTAGATGAGGTCACAGATGTGGTCGTTGATGCAGAAACTGACCAGGTTGACACAGTATCAAGCAGTACTGATGCATCTCAGCAGTCAAGATCACGCCCAGGTCCTTTCTTGGTCAAAATGACTTTTCCAAATAAACAGAGAAAACCAAAACGCTCGTGTGCACTGAAAAGAGCAAATACAAAAGTAAAAGGGTTGACTGAACAACTTTCAAAAAGAAGCAACAGAAAAACACCCAAACAGGCTAACCGCGAAGGGAACAATACTGAAAATAGCTCGGATCAGACGACAGACAGTCTTCAACAACAGTCTGAAGCAACACCTTCAACAAAAACCAGAAATGATCTCCAGGTGTGAGTCCCAGTCACTTGCCAGCCACTGTTGTGAGACAATTAACAATGGCTAATGTACTTTTTGGAGAAATTAAAGAAAGTGTCGCAGCTTACAAAAAGCAAAGCAAAATGAATGTGATGACATCTCTTGTTGGAGGGAAAGTACTTAAGAAGTACAGATGTGTGTCGGGTTCGAACAAGGCTACAGGCTTGTCATGAAGAAGTTTATCTCGGACCACCTCTAAGGTAATAAGAGATTCGAGGAAGAGCCCGTCTCACTCTCGTAAGAGAGCAGATTAAGAGACAAGTTGTCTCATTCATGGAGAGAGATGATATGAGCGTATGTATGCAAGGCAAAGCAGATTCCAAATGGTGTCAAACATCAAACAAGAATAATGAATGATTATCTGTCTGAGGTGTATGCTAAGTTCAAGATTGAAAACCAGAATATGACACTGTCATTTGCATCATTCTGTAGGCTACGGCCCAGATACATCTTGCTCACATCACACATTTCAAGAAACACAAACAAACATCAGAATATGGCAATGAAACTCAAAT